CTCTCTCTCTCTCTCTCTCTCTCTCTCTCTCTCTCTCTCTTCCCTCCCCCCGGAGTCAAGATTTTACTTTTGTGGGCAAAAGGAAGCTTAGTTAAGGAAAATCCCTAGGATCCTGCTTCCAGCACCCCTTGATGAATTACCTGCGGCTTCTCTGGCTCTTGAAACCTCATCTTCTGGTTCCATCTGCCAAGGTTTTTCACAGTGAGAGGGAGATGGTACACTTTCCCCAACACTGCATCCTGGAACCTCAGCTCTGAGGGTATTACCCGTAGCTGAACTTCCTTCTTCTCATTATCAGCATCCCGAGGGGCTAGGGAGCCCCTCTCTAAATCCATAGCTGCCTTCTAGGTACCAGCAAGAAGTTGCTGACTAGACCAACGACTGGCTAGGGACAACACCAGTTGCTTGGCAACCAGCACTAGGAAACCATTATGAGGCCCGCCCCTTCAGGCTCGCCCAGCGCCACCAGCTCCCCCACCCAAACTGACCCCTCCGGGCTCCCTGACCGCGGTCCAGTTGACACTCAGGAGTAGGCGCCGGCTGCCCCCTTCACCGTGCACTCTCCTCCCACTCGCCTTGTGTGCCCCCTCGCCTCGCGTTTGCGCAGGCGCACTTTAGCCCTGGAGTCAGGGACTGCCTCAGTATTTGAGATGGCCACTCAACAGCACGCTTCTGGTGAAAGAACAGAGTGGCAGCTGTTAACAAAATAACTAGAAACACACCATGCCATCCCCAAATCCGGAAGCAGCTTCCACTAAGATAGCCTGGTAGAGTTGCAAGGTGTCATTTGGTGTAGTGTGAATTTTCCTGACCCTCCCTTCAGTGCTTAGTGAAAGTGATGTGCCCAAGGGGGTCTCTTAATAAGGCTGCGAGATTTGACTGTTGAATGAAATGGAAGACTTCAAGGAAAACAGGATCCAAATCCCCTAAACATCTTTCTCAATGGCCTTTGGGCCAGGATTTCTCAGTTCTTTGTATACCAGAATACTGAATTCATATGAAGACCTATCGAGAGGGATGAGCAAATTACTTAGTTGATCGTGTAAAATAAATTCTTTGTGTACTGGAATTCTTTGTGTTCTTTGTTTCTTTTCAATCCTAGGGAACAGATTCAGGGTCATCAACATTCTAAGCAAGAATTCTATCGCTGAGCTACAACTTTAACACATGTATTATTAATTAAAATATTTTTACTGATTTGAGAAGTTCATACAATTTACATTGATCATATTCAGAAATTATCCTCCTTACTATACCATTAAATTAACTAATTAATTTACTTATTTATTAATTTGGTGGGTTTTTTTGAAACAGCTGGTCTGGAATCAGCAATGTAGACCAGGCTGGTCTCACAAGAGATCTGATCTGCATGGCTTTGCCTCCTGAGTGCTGGGATTAAGGACTTGAACAACCACCCCCATCTCAGCTATGTTATTAAATCTTGAAAAAAGATCAGATGCACACACACGCTATAAAGCAGTCTTTAAGTCTGTCATTCAACTATGGGTTCTGTTTCCACATGTCCAGAGCAGGCACTAGGAACCTGTACTCACAAAAAGTTGCAGAGAATACTCATGCTGCTAGAACAGGAGCTACACTCTGATTATAGTAGCTTTAGGAATTTTATTAGCTATCTGAATAATAACTTTCTCATTTGTGAAGTGAAAGTATTACTAATGGCACAGTAACCAAACATCTACATTACTATGATAGAATTCTTCAAATGTACAAATTCGCGTTGTCGTTTGGCTCTCGTTTTTGTGAACTCACAGTTTGAAATGTAGCAGCAGTTCTAATTTGCTCTTTGCTGCTGAGTTTCACTGAAAGAAATTTCTTCTCATGCTACCAGCTAAAGAGTTTTCTTTAACACCTATACACCTTTGTAAGTAATCTGTCCCGACATTGTTACAAGACTCTCACAGTACCAAGATCATAATCATTTTCAACAAGGATAGAGGCAAGTTGTCAAGTTTCTTAGAATTATTGTTGATTGTTGAAAATAGTTTGAGTGGTGTTGGTGATTATTATGTGAAAATTTTAAGAAATGATAAAAATACACCATCTTGGAAAATCATATAAATCTTAGTTTACAAGTTGGCAATGTGAGTCACCTTTGCATTTTTTTAGAAGACAATGTACATCTTGTCTGCATCCCTGTGGTGAAACCAAAGCGGTTTTATAGCCCTAAAAGGCTCACAGTTGGAATAAATGAAAACTATATTACTGGTGCAAAATCCTAAACAAACTCTAAAACAAATGGAGATTCCAAAGGGGCTTCAAAATTCCCTTTAGCACACACTCAAGAATAAGACTGGCTGAAGCCTGAACTGTTTAGAAATTCTGTTAGTATTCTCATCAGCTAAGGAAGGATGGAACTTGGAGCCGTGCACTGCAATGAGAAGTAACAGAGGCAGAAATCAATGGTCCCTACACACAGGTAGGCATTCAAGGATGGAGGTTCTGGTCTTGCTTTAGATTTGTGCAGGTACTTGTGAGATCTGTGAGATATATACTCACATTTATGACTTCAGCAAGATTGAATTGATAAAATGTTTTATGAGTTTGTGTTGAGCAGTACTTTACACAATTAGGATTTCCTGGATTAAGAGGAAGAGATATGAGAATAAATTAGGTTTAGGAACATAAAATCAAGGAAAATTATTAATTACTCAGAAAACAGAGAGCTATTTCTGGTTTGTTTTTTTTTGTTGTTTGTTTGTTTTTTTTTTGGTTTTTTTTTTTTGAGGCAGAGTCTTTCTTGTAGCCCCAACTGGCCTGGAACTCACTATGCAGACCACACCAAGCTGGCCTTGCACTCAGAGAAACCACCTGCCTCTGCCTCCCAAGTGCTGGGACTAAAGGTGTGCGCCACCATGTCCCATGAAAGCTATTTATAAAAATAAAAAATAGCACTAAGTTCTTATTTAGTTTGTATGTGAATATCATTCACTAAGTAATATATGAAAACAGAATGTTGATCCAAATAAAATCTACTATAATTATATTGTTAAGTGGTAAAATTAATTAATGTATGTGATGGTTGCTGTGAAAACACCAGGTTGTTATCTTTTCAAGTGAAAGATATGAAAACATCACATTCAGATGATATAAAGCAACAAGATCAGTGAGCCATTTCTTCCTTTCTTGTGGTAGTGGTGGTTGAACATATGCCCTCTTGCATGCTGGAAAATAACTACCACTGAGCTATATCTCTAGCGTATTTTTTTAATTTTATTATTGTTTGTTCTTCAGGTTGGCCTTGAACTCACTTTGTAGCCTAGGTAGGCCCTGAACTCATGATTCTCATGCCTCAGCCTCCCAAAGTAGTATGGTTTAATAGGCCTGCTGCACCAGGATCTGCTAATTTCTAGTGAGAATTTAAACTTTTGCAACTACTGTAGAAAACAGTTTTGAAAATTTTTAGTAAGCTAATCACATAATTACCATGCAGTCCAGCAGTTGTAGTCATGGGCATTCATTCTAGAGAAAGACAAATTATTTGCACAGAAACTTGAGTATTACAAGTAGCAGTTTCATTCATAATAGTCAAATCCTGAAATAATCCAGTACAGCTCAGCAGATGAATCAACAGTCTGTAGTATATTCTTGCCTGAAATATTACTCAGCATTGGAATGAATGATTGGCAGGTGCAAAACTCGGGTGACTCTCCAGGGTATTATAGGGAATGAAATGTGATATTTACAAAATATAACATAGTGTATTACCTCTTCAAGTAATGTTTAAAATAATAAAATCTTGGGGACTGGAGAGATGACTCAGTGGTTAAGAGCACTAGTTGCTCTTGCAGAAGACCTGGGTTCAAATCCCAGCACTCACATGTTGGCTAACAACTATCTGTAACTCCAGTTCCAGGAGATCTGATGCCCTCTACTGTCCTCCATGATCATTGCATAACATGGGTGCACTTACATACATGCAGGCAATACACTCATACACATAAAAAATTAATTCATTAATTAAAAATTAAAAATAAAATAACATTTTGAAATGGAGGGTATCAGTGGTCAGATATGAGGAGAGGGACAAGAGTTCTGGACATGATTTATAAAGGGAAAAATAGGAGATTGTTGTGTTGGGGACCTTACATTCACTGTGGTTGTAGATACCTGAAGCTGCACAGACGATAAGAATTATAGAGGACTAAACACACACACACACACACACACACACACACACACACACACACACACACAAATGAATACCAGTAAAAATGATAGTCTGAATGACAGAAATTTTATAGCTGTTTAGAGACCACTCTAGTCTTAATGAAGTATAGTTTTCTAAAATCTCACTATTAAGAGAAAGTTGAAATTTTTCTTAGGTATTGCTCAAGATTGAATCTTGGCAAATTTTACAAAAGTTATGTCCATGTTATTTATTACATTTCCTGTGAATTTATAATCTCAATATGTTTAAATCTAAATAAAATGAAATTCAGCTAAATAAAATTTATATGCTGTTATTTTTTTCTTCTAAAAGTGTAAGCATTGGTATATCTGGATAAATGGTCCATGATGTACAAAAATAAAATGAAATAAAAAATCTCATTGTGTTTATTCACAAAACTCTGAATGAAAAGTGTAACCCTTTGCTCAACCTTCTAAATCATTCCAGTTCTGCTGTGCACTTAAAGGGAGATTTACTTCATGTATAAGAGTATAATTCAGCCAGACAGCAAAAAGAACATATAAAATCCTGTAGAGAAAGTCCACCCTGTAAGAATTTGCTCAATAAATTTGCCAGGCAGGAAGATTGATTATCTGGTTTCTGGTCATTTCAAATGTCCTTCCCTATATTTATAGGTAGCTGTAAGTTATCTGTTGTTTTCTTACGGGAGTGTAAATAGTCAGTGGGTGCTCTTTTGGTTGAACTACATAAGAGGAAAATGTGAAATCAGCAATAAAGTCCTTGATTGATTTTTTAGCTCTAGCCTGTTCTTTCTTCTTGCTGCATCAGGCTTGGGAACAATCACAGATGTCATCAGGTCATTTCACTTATATTTGGCATCCTTCACCACGGATTTAAACTATTAAAGCATGTCTTTCCTTGTGAGTCACTCATATATGTTCTTGGCCAGGCTACCAAGCTATATTTTCCTTCCTTATCTGCTATCCATGTGTGGTTACTTAATTTAAAGCTGAAATTCACTAAAATCAAATGTTTTATCACGAGTAATATTTTGATTTTTCAATAACCAGTAATAGATAACACTAATATATAATGCTTCTATAATTCTTTTATGAGCACAAACTATTTGATAAAGATTCTATCTCAGGAAAAGAATTTAGAATTGTATTAATGGTAATTTCTCTT